ATAATAACTTGGCAGATCTGGTCAAGGTATTGTCATCACCACGTATCTTCTAAATAACAGCTATGATAGGAAACGCAGTGGACTAGGGATCAGAAAAACTGAATTTTTGTTCCTTTTCCAATGTAATCTTATGGCTTTATTTGTAATATGAAGAAAACATATCCTATCATACCTGTTTCACATGACCTGTTTTTAAAATGAAGAGATAATATGTTTGAAAATGCTTTGAAAATTATTTTCAATGCTCTCAATATAAATTTAAGATAGTGTTTTTATGGTAGTCAGCTATCAATTAGGTACCTTTAAATGAGGACCCCGTGACTCTGAATAGGAATTAGCTATAGTGGTAGGGGTTTGTGTGGCATTTCAGAGAGGGAAGATGCAGTAAGGAGATATGAAATAAGATGATTAATTTGGATTATTTGTAATTAGGTGTCTAGAGTATAGGATGTCAGTGGAGGAGTATCAGGAGATAGGGTTGGGGAAGTATTATGGATGTGCTTGAATGTTTAACTTAAAATTATGGAGGATCATTTAAAGATTTAAAATAGGGGAGTGACATAAAATTTGCATTTCCAGAAGTTTATTTTGGTATCTTTGTAGATGACAGATAGGCGTGGTAGGAGGGGTGTGTGGCTGGAGTTAGGGAGACTGTTGTATTTAATAAAAAGCAGAGCTAAGAACTTGAAATAACATAAATGTAGAAAGGAAAGGATAGATGCACAAGATGCTAGTGAGACGGAATCTGTGAAACTTATGTTCTGATTAAATGTGGGTGGTAGAAAGGCATTTACGCAAAGAGAAAAATTTGTCATCATTCTAGGGCTTCTAGCTTAGGTAGCTTCTCTGCCTTTCACTGAGATAGAGACTAGGATGAATTTAAAGAACAGAGTATAAATTTGATTTGGGGAATGTTAAATTTGAGGTATTTATGGTACAAATGCTTTGTTTTCAGTTGAGTAGAAGGAGAGAGGATTTGAGACTTGTCTGGGTGGTAGTAAATGAAGCTCTGGATTTGGATTAGATTGCCTGGGTGCAGCGCCAGATCTCTCGTTACACCCTGTTCTAAAAATTTACCCCTGGAGAAATACATAGTTCCTCAGAGACAAGGCTGCACATAGCCCTTCGAGTCATATTTCTGGCTCTTGCAGTCAATCCCAATCTGAGTCTTCTCTTTACTGACTGCCATAAGGATTCTTTGGACAGGTAATATAAAGATACCAGTTCTTTACTGTTCCCATAATACTAAGTAAAACTCAAATATTTTTTATTACTTTAAAAAATATCAATCTAACCAAATACATTTTTTAATCTAAGAGAATTAAAAATGACTTTCCTACTCTATTGACCATGTCAGCTGCTATAGTAATAACAGTCATTTTTGTTTTTCTAACTTGGAGTTGACTGTAAATTGGTTATCAAATGGCTTTAATTAATTTATCCTCATGAAGCCTGTATGCTAACATAACGTCATCAATTCAGCTTATTGTAGTAGATGACAATACCCTTCTTGGTATTTAAAAGCCATTTATTTTAATGTATTTATTTGGTAGCTTCTAGATGACAATACCCTTCTTGGTATTTAAAGCCATTTATTTTAATGTATTTATTTGGTAGCTTTGTTGGGAACTTTAGCCTTTCTCAAGCCATATCTTAATTCTTGAGTTCCTTTCCACTCTGCCTATCCCTCCCTTCTCCCAGGTTGTTGGCCTTAAGAAGTTCTGACTTCTCCCCATATGGCATTGTAGCCTAGCTTCTTGATTTGCCCTTCTTTCAAGTTTCTCTGACCCAGTTGGCCAGTTTTCTTTTTCTCTCTATCACTGGCAGTTTCATAACTAAGCTGCCTATTGCCATCAGGAAGTCAGGAAGAATGTGGACACAGGACTGCAGGGACAGAATGAGTGCTTGCAACACTGCAAGGGCTACTGTGATGGATATGACTCCTGCAGTAGCTCCTACAGATATTATTTTAGAGGAGCAATTGCCCATCATATATAGGTCCTTCAAAATTCAAGGACTGCCAGCCGCCTATAATTTGTAGGCATACTCAAACATTTTTATGACTTCACCTAAATGTGAATGGGGAGAAAAATATTGAATTGATTCCTGCACACATTTAAAAGGAGTGCAGTTAAAATGTCAGTCGTAGTCTGGCTAAAGGTAATGAAAAGCCTATTTTTTTTTTAGGCTTTCTTAGCACAGTGCATGATTTTTTTTTTTTTTTTTTTTTACAAATAGACCTGCAAACACTAACTACTTCTTAATGCTCTTTTAAAATCATTTCAAGGGTGCTCACAGATAATCTGAGAACATCTTTTAGTTTCACAGATAAATCATGCATTCGAGATACAGTATAATGCCAGTGCAGAAAGTATATATGAAATGAGGCTGAAACTTTGTAATTATTTATTGGATAATTATGTTTTAGTGATAAGCAATATTTGGTTATGTTTTTATGCCACAAGAAAGAAGGTAATTCCCACCTGTTTAATTTAAATTCTAAACCTGTATAGAAATTCACATGCTAGCAGGTAAATAGAATTCCTGTTAAATTTTTCTAAATTATAAATCAGATTTATATGAGAAACCAGATTATATTTATTCCTTTTTATTTCTGACAGAAGCATTAAAAAATGGTATTTCCAGTTTCCTGGTTCATCTTAGTATAGCTATTCTCCCAATTTCTTGGATTGCAGTCTGGAAAGTCTCATCAGAATACAAGAGTTTTGTAATGATGTTAAGCCATTCTTTCAGTTAAAATGAGACATGCATGGGTGATTTGCAGTTAACTGCTCGCCTCCACACACACAAATGCCTCAGCTTCACATCTAATCATGATTCATGCCTTATGCCATACTCTTGCTCTCATCCTAGCACCAACAGATGGTGGGACAAGACCCCTGGGGCAGTCTGCCCCAGTGTTCTATGGTTGTACATCTTCTGGTAGCAGTGGTCAGAAAAGGAAGGATTTTAATAATGGCAGATTGGGTTATGTTCTTTTTGGGTTCTTGCTTAAAAAACAAATTAATTAATAGAAATTTGCCATCAGATTTTCAGGTGTTACCTTAAAAACATTTTTTAGTCCATAAAACGAAATAAAATGAAAAAGCCACATTATTTTTTAGAAATGGGCTTGCTGAAAAGACAGCTGCTGTGCTTATGTCCCATCATGTGTACATTACATTTGTAATAATCTGAATTGTGAGAAATCAGTAAGTGAGAGCATACAAAAAGATAGGTTTCATCTATTGATGCTTATGTAAGTTTTCTATTCTAAAAAATTACACCCGTCATTGCCAGGTGACACATGTTGATTTGGTAGGTTAGTAGAATCTGAAGTTGCTGTTTATGGTCTGTGATTAGTATGATTGGTGACTTCAGGCAAGTTTAGTTCCTCTTTCTGGGCTTCTGTTTCTTCACTTAACACATAAGGTTGTTTTAAAGTATCTTCAAAAGAAACTTTTTATTTTAGTCCATATGAACTAATTGCAAATGACTTTTTTTTTAAGATAATAAAGCCGTGGAAGTATAATTTTTCATACCTTCAACCATTTGACAGCTCTAGCTTCTGATGTTGCTAAAAGTGTTTACGGTTCTTTAACCCAGAATCCTGGGTAGTCAAGCAGTGCACAGCACAATGGTTTTTAATTTTTTTTTTTCACCAGAACCTATGATTAGAAATAAATTTTACATACAGCAGGCATACCCATGTAGTTACATATGCATTTGCATACAGATAATTCAAACATAGTTTCACTAACAGTGTTTTATCTATGGGTACAATTTTTTTATTCTTTTGTTGTTGTTGCAGGTGTTGTTAATTCTACTTCTCTTTTCAAGAAATTGCTGCTCCTTGTTCACCAAATCCATATCAGAGTTCCTAATGGATTGAGACTCACAGTTTGAAAAACAGTGCACTAGTGAGCACTTACTATAAAGAAATACATTATTTGTCTTTTATAGACTTTCTCAAATTTTTCTATTAAAAATGACTTTCCTACTCTATTGACCACATCAGCTGCTATTTACTTAACAAGAAATCTTTAGAGTTCTCTCTCATTTATATGTATATCTAAAAGATATAAAGCATATAGAGGAGCTAGCTACTCAGAAACAATTTAAATAAAATGTTTTAATGAGCTGTATAACTGTCTTTAAACACATGCCATTCCTCTTTATTGTTCAGAATCAAATAGTAATTTTAAGTTTTATTTCCTTGAGCTTTTCTTTATTTGCATCATCATTCCAGATTTCCCTGTTATCTTTTATTTTAATAGGTCATGCTTTTAATAACAAATACATGAAGTGGCTTGGTTTCATTGAAGGTTTCTTTATTTGTATTTTAACAAAGAAAGAAAGGAAAGAAGCAAGGCTTTTTGAATTTCCGCATCACCAAATAGACTTTGAATACCATGGACTTATTTGCTGTTACTATTTCACTTTTTCATTGGTAATGGTTTGAAGAGTTGTATAAAAACATAGGAATCATATGGAGCTATATAATTTCCCCTGTCGCTCCATATAAAATGATATGAGATGAGTTTTTTGCTCATTTAATTGCCATTTATTTTTTTAAATTATGATAGCATATAGGAAATCATAGTTTATATATATATAAAAAAAATATATATATAAACTAATATACCGTTATAGAATTCAGAAGGGAAGTAGAAAAAACATTCTTTGAATAGACAAAGTTGGTACTAACACTGAAAAATAAGTATGTGTACAAATGGTATGTTCAGAAAGGATTCCTTTATAATCTGACTGTAGATAGACAAAAGATTGCATCAAAAAGTTTTTTTTGTGTGTGTGCAGATAAAAACACAAAAGCAGCTTGTGGAACTGAAGATAATTTTATATGAATACATACATTTGAATGTATACTGAAAAAATTTCTATTATGGATGGTGAAAATTCTTGATAATGTATTGAATATGAAGTTGTCAGCTTTAGTCTTGAAGATTTTCATTGAAGTTCTTTTTATGTATCTCTTTCAGATATGGAAACAAGTGAAAAAATCCAAGAAAGTGGAATACTTCAACTGTTTGCAGGTCTTTTGATTCCACAGTCTTCATGCACAGCCAAAGTAGCTAACATCATAGCAGAAGTAGCCAAAAATGGTGAGGTTTTCCTCAAGAACTTTTCTGCTGGGAACATCTTCAGTTTTACACCTTACTTGTCAGTATGTTTTATTAATTTATGTTTTAAGTTTGTAGATTAGACGTTTTTAAATTTGTTTTTCTCTTTTCTTTGACATTTTTCATGTAACTGTTTAAAATGACTATAGTTATAGTCATTCTATTCATACATTTCCCATTTGCTATTTCATTTCTTCAGAGAAGAATTAAAAGAAAGCACGATTAGTCATTTCTGCACCTGTATCATTTATTACTTTGCTTATAGAATTCTTGAGCTTGGCATTGAGTCACTCATATTTATTATCATAGGAGAGCATTCCTTTTTCAGTGTATCTATCAGTTTGTGTTTTACCCAGGTAAACCATTTATTTTCAGTCTGGCCTATCCTACTGACGTTGGCACTTGACGGCAGCAGAGCAGTTGGAATATATGTTCTGTTTTCTGCATTCACCTTCATGGGAAACAGTTTTTAAGTTTCTGTGTGAGAATACTCCGAGAAAACAATGACGACAGCAAATCTTAAATTATATAATAGCTAATCCACCACATGACATATAGTTTATATCTAATGAGTCTTTAGAAGAATTCTATTGTAGCAGAAATATTTGCACATGATTTTAATTTGGTCAGTTTGAGAATCTCTGACTTAAAGCAGTTTTTAAACATAAGCGAAGGTAATACTAAATGTAATACTTTTAGTGTGCATCAGTTTATTTGATATTATTTTTAGGCCTTTTATTTTAGTAAGCTGCATATATCATACTTTAACGAGAAGAAATTTTAAAATTCTAGCCTCATTTGTGTAATCACTATGGCAGGTGGCATTGTAAAATACTAGTATATGTTGTTTTAGGCCCAGTAAAACAACTTATTCATATGTGTGTTACCAAAAAGAAAATTGCCGTAAAATAATTTCATTTTGTTTAGAGGTTCTCAAAATGTCCTTCAGGTTTAAATGAGGTTTTCTGTATTGGTAAATCATTTATTTGGTTGTTAACTGAAAACTGGTTACCATTTGTATGTCACGACTAAGCTATTGTAATTATATCATTCACTGTGCTGTGCTTTGGATTCAAGCTGGTCATAAATATTCAGATGTCTTGGAGTGTTTAGTTTACTTCAAGCAGATTTGGACTGCTCTGAATAGATAGTGATTACCTTAGAACAACAAAGAACTCCTGAAGCAGATGAGGTTTGAAAATGGAACCTCCAGACATGGCTTGTTAACCTAAATCAACCACTGTCTGATCAACTTGATTTTTAAGACTAATTAGTTTATTTTTAATCTCATAAGAATAACATTATAGATTTATAGAAATCAATTTTTATCTTAAAAACCTTTTTTTTTCTTAAAAATGAGCACATACCCACTATAGCATAGATTCAGAAATTTTGTATAGTATATTGTTGTGAAATGGGTTGCCATTTTATGATCTTAATAGTAGCAATCCTCATAATACTTTGTCACAGTTTCATGATAACTTTGCTGCTAGAGGTAATTTCTAGTAATACTCTAGTAGGTGACAGTTATGTTCTAAAATATAACAGAATTTTTAGCATTTATGCTTTTAATCAGGCTTTTAAAGGGCATGTAACTAACCTCTACTGGTTAAAATAAATGGGATACATTTAAATGGTTATTTACTGCTTAATCACCACATTGTTTTTTTAAGTGACTGGCTGAGAAAGTGGATTAGAGTCTTTTTAAAACAAATACATATCTTCAGAAATGCAACAAGACCCAATAGGGCATATTAACGGGACTTGTATTTCTTCTTGTTAGAAACTTAACAGTGAAAAAAGATTGTATGAACCAGAGGGAAAAAAAGAGGTTGGAAATTGATTTGTTCATCTTCACTCTGCTATGCACTTTATATAACTACAAAGGAAAAATATTAGAATGTACTTCTTAGATTTGGATTAATCACATACCACAAAAAGCAGTATAAACACACAGCATAGTAAGAATTTTCATGGTCAAGTTTAATGGGGGAGCATAGCTGTGACCATAAATCACAATAAAAGCTTTTTAAATAAAGTATACTCCAATATAATAGTTTTAGACTGATTTTTAAATAAAGTATTTAAATAAAGTATTCCCTAATATAATAGTTTTTGACTGATTTGAGACAAGAAAAAGAAAGCTAGATGAAAAGTATCCTTAATTTCTTTTTTTCAGAATTATACTCTCGAGGTATCGAATAATAATAATAATGATTAGTTCCTAAAACTAGGTGCTGTTAAGTGTTTACATTGTGCCAGGCATTATGTGCATTATTTCAAATTCTCATAACAATCCTATATGAGGGAGGGTTATTTTTATATACATGAGAAAACAGAGAGGTTAAGCACTATCCTCATACAACAGTATGTGGTAAAGGTGGGATTCAAACACTTAAGTGATAATAGTTGGAATTTATGCTTTACCTTGTTTACTCTTTTTTCACTTCTTTTCAGTAAATGAGATGTTATGATAGCAGTGGACAGTGTGTCAGTGGTCTGAGTGCAGGGATAGCAACATATGACCTGAAAGATTAGGCAAATACCTAGTTGAAAATGCTTAAAAGCAAACAAAGTTGAGCCACTCTATATCTATTCCTCCAAACACTGGTTCCCTGCTTTGGACTAGCAGTGTCAGAATCACTTGGAACTTGTTAGATGTACATCCTTGGACCTTCTCACTCAGACCTACTGAGTCAGGAACTCTAGGAGTGGAGCCCAGCCATCTGTTTTAACAAGTCCTTCAGTTGGCTCTCATACCTGCCTATAAGGCTTGAGAAGGAAATCTCTGTCTAAGGTAATACGGAATCAGAAAGTTGGATCAACATTATGCTTTCGTCCCTCCCCCACCTATACTTATATCAGATTGCAAAAGTGTTTATCAGTCTTTTCCACAAGTGGAAAAGAATAACAAAAGAATAAAAGTATACACCTAGGATGGACTAGGGAGGGCACTACCAGAAACATGGAAGTCTCCTGTTTTGACTTATAAATTTATTTTTATTTTTCCCTCTACTCCATAGCAAGTATATGTTTATTTTAGTATGATACATATGTATGCTCTGGAAAAGTCATTGGGTAAAATCAATATGTGAAAAAAAAATGCTCTGTGTTGTTAGGTAGCTTAAAGTATACCTTCAATGTTGGAAGTTTAACCTCAGTGATTTTGTTAGAATTAGTTATAGTTATCAGTATTCTTTTCAAAAAGGCAGTACAAAGTATGAATGAAAAATGTCAAGTCACTCATTCTTTTATATGTATGCCTCATAGTTTTCCTTGTTCTTCTAAAGAAAAATAAAAAAACCCAAGAGTTAATTATAGGGAGGTTATTAGAGAAAATTCAACATTTTGAGTATACATTACTATTTAGTCTAATAAACATTAGACTCTAGCACTCAGTGTTTTTATTTGGCGTATAGAGTTTAAAAAGACTTCTAATGAAATAGATTTCATCCTTTCAGGTAGCTAAAAATGGGAAAAGTACTTATATATCAGGTTTTTAAAATATTTGATAAGTAAATACGTAAAAAGCAGGTTTTATAAATCTTGGCATAATTAAAAGAAAATATTTTTTGTGGTTTTCGTTATAGCTTGTACTTTGTGATCATGTTAAATGCATATGTAATTTAAGTAGGTTTGGGAAAGGAAAAGTAAGCAAGAAAGAAATTAATACTGGATTTAGAAAGAAATGGAAATATCCAAATCAGTCAACAAGCCATTATTGAATATTATGATTGAAGTCCACACACTATAGCATTATACAAAGACATGAATTCTATCTCGTATAGACAGACATATACGTATATAAATAATTAATGGTTTTGCCTTCTATTGCTTAATGGCCTCCACCAACTTTGATTTCTAATCACTGTCATTCTGTATGTATCTTTGTTTCAGGCTCCCTCTCACAGTCCTTTCCTCCACCTCCTAAGAACTTTTCAGTTCTCTGTCTGGAGTTTAAATTGTCAAGAGAGAAGATATGAGTTCTTTAAGTTCATCACCACTGCCCTGTTTAGTGGACCTTTCAAACTAGACCATTTGATAGGCTGGCTGTGAGTCAGAGTCCAGTCACCTGTGAGCAGGTAACAGGCTCATGTGGTATGGACTAGAGATGTATGTAGTGAGAACCCCTTTGAACAAAGACGACGGTCACAGTCATTCTGTGGCCTCGCCAGTATATTTTAGGTAGATAGGTAGGTAGATAGGTAGGTAGGTAGGTAGGAAGGTAGGTAGATAGATAGATAGATAGATAGATAGATAGATAGATAGATAGATAGATAGATAGTTGATAGGTAGGTAGGTAGATAGATAGATAGATGGATAGATAGATAGATAGATAGATAGATAGATAGATAGATAGATAGATAAAGACAGACAGATGTTTAGGTTTAGGAGGTGATCCCAATTTCCATACAGGGACTCATACTGATTTTGTTGGGCAATGAAAGCAAAAAGGTCACTGTCCCTCTTTCTGTCTCCTTAGTGTTTCCTTCACAAAAAAGAAAAGATGCTAATTATAAACTTATTTCTGATAAATATAACAAAACCAATTTTACTATAGGCTAATTCGATATAAACCAACAGAGTTAAGTTCCTACTACATCTCATCAACATTATAACAAAACAACATTGAATGAAACAATGTTGCTCGAAGACCTGCTATACTTTAATTATCAGGCTCATGGAAAGACCATTACAAATGCTTCCATCATCACATGCTGCTTCCTAAGCACATCCAGTTATTATAAGAAGATAGTGATAAATTAGGTATAATGAAAGTTAATTAAAATCCTTTTGGCTTATAGCAGAGAATATCAGGAAAGGAAAATATGACCCCTCTCAAGTTTTGTGTAATTATTTCATGAAGTATCTAATAAGTAGGGTTGTAATAGAATTTTTGAACAAAAACGTACTCTTCAAATAGTTAGCCACCTTAAGCATTCTCATAGTAGATATTTATTTTATTAAGGGATATGATTTATGTAAATTGTGAATCTTTAGATTTTTAATTAAATGTATCTCTTATTTTCAGAATTTATGCGAACTCCATGTGTGGATGCTGGATTGATTTCACCACTGGTGCAGCTGCTAAATAGCAAAGACCAGGAAGTGCTGCTTCAAACGGGCAGGGCTCTAGGAAACATATGTTACGATAGCCGTAAGTGTTGAAATATCAATAGTACTCTTAGAAACTTTTGTTAATTATCGTTTTCAGACTAATTCCACCTTTAGCGTTACCAGTTTTTTCTAGGCTAAGACATTAACATAGGCCATGGCTTAGCTCTGCTTTAACAGAACTGATAGAAATTTGGGCCATAGTATTCTGAACTAAGAAGTTACAGGAAATGAATTTTTTTCCTTTGCTATCGTAAATTATATTTTCAGAGGAAAGTAAGTCAATTTCTAAGAAATCGGGGCTTTTAATTTAAAAATATATATCTCTTTTCATTAGGTTTTATTAAAATACTATCTCTGAATGAGGACATAGCTTTTCAAAGTTTCTGAGTCTGTCCAAATACATTTTTAATTACTTGCAATTCAATAAAACTATTCATAAAAACCATTATCTTCTCAAAAGTTAGATTGGCCTACTGCATCTGCATTGACTCCATTCCTATTTGTCATAATGTCGTTGTCATCCTCACCACTTTCTAATATATACTGTCCTACCAGGCGGAGAAAAAGCAAGAACTCAGGTGTGGTTATATTGCAAAAATTGTACGTTTTCTACTTTCCCACATATTTGTAAACAAAATACAAAAAAATCTTGAGTATATTCAATTTAATTAGGCTTAATTAAAATCAAGATTTTTCCTAAATTTCTATTTTCTGAAACCAAACCACATATTTTAAATTTTACCTTTAGAGTCTCCTAGGAATTTAATTCTGTTTATATAACTAGGATAACTTATATTGCTTATTTTCCCCAATGAGTTTATAATTCACCTTTTGAATGAATTATGTTTTGTTAGAAAACACCTTTTATAATAGTGCTTCCAATGTGATTTGTGCATGTAAGCCAAATAGTAAAGAAAATCATAAACGTATTCATTTATATAAAAGAAAAAGATAGGAAAAAAAGATTGAAAATATACCTCTCAGTTTTAACTTTTCTGTAGGAGTAGTGGTAAGGCTACTCTCTTTTATTCTCCTTTCCTTCCTTTTTCTGGAACATTAAATATTATGTCGAAGGACATCGATGTCTTAATATGAATTTTAACTTACAGTGTTCAGTCCCATTACTACTTATAAGTTTACCTGTTTCTTCATTCCAGCTGTTTTTATCCTAGGGTAATAACTTTCATATTTAGGATTTTTATGAAACGCCATAGCTTATAATGTTAGCTTTCAAAAATGAAACATTTAATGTATATTTTATATACATATGGATTTCAATAATATATATTATAAAGATCTCTTTAGAGTAATAATCAAAGATTGATGACATGAACTTGAAGAGCATTGATCATTACTATTTTTATTCCTATCCTCCATCTGTGTTTACTATTAGAATTTAAGACTATCAAAAGTATTCTTTAATCCTTATTCAGTTTAGTTATCCTGGAATTACACATTGCTTGAACATAGGAAATGTTATCTGTTTTTTGTACTTTCATCCTGGAGTTTCACATAATGTTGATAAAACAGAAGAAACACCTATAATAATCTATTGTTTCACATTACTGTGGTTTTTATGGGCACAGAGTAACTTTATTTCCTGTATACCCTAAAGAACTTTGAAGTTAGGGTAATAAATGTCTAGTTAATATGATTATTATTTTGATGATGCTGTAGTCCATTATTATAGTGTTTATCATATCTGTTTGTTCTTAGGAGGTATACAGTATAAAATCTGTGGACATGCTTTAAGCTATGAAGTTAATTTTTTCATTTATTTATAAATATTTATAACCACTTCTGTCTTATTTAATTCAGTGGAAATTATAATTAAGTGTAAAAGTAAGCATAGTGAATACAGGCTATTTTTTATACATTTAAACCTGTTTGAAGAAAATGAAGTTAGTAGTCTTAAAAATGAATGAATATAAGAAGTGATTTATTACTGTAAATCATGTAATGAAATGTATTCATTGTGTCCTGCTGTTTTATGCATATAATTTCCATTAGACTGTATGCCTTCTTACCCTTTTATTTGACATTAAATCTCTGTGAACTTCTTAGAGATTTCTCCGGAATAATTGTAGGAAAAGTACAGCACCTATTTTTGAATTACAAGAATAATATAAAAGTCTATAAATGTGATGATATGTAGTTGATTTGTGAATTTACTTGAAATGCATCTCTCATATTTTACGACAATTGAGAATTGAAAGAACGCAGAAATTTTTCTTTTCAAAAAGTATCGAATGGCTTCTATTTTAATTAATTAACCTCCGTCCTGGAGAATGTAATGCTTCATTCTTAAAAGAATAATAGAAAACTATATGTGGCAGCCTTATAAATACCAGAAATATTTTTCTTACAAATAACATGTTTTAAAATTCACAGTTGTGTTCTATTAAACTTAACTGCCGGAATAAGCAGTTTACTTATATTTTATAAATGAATAACTTTTTAGTGTGGCTTTATTCAGAATGATACTAGGCTTACAATAGGTAGTAAAGTCAGTGTATACAGAAAGCACCATAAGGACTTCACTACTAGGGATAAAATTAAGAAATGTGTGCATATTTTACAGATTTGTATTGACACTTAAAAAGTAAAGTATTTCCTAGCATACTTCAGTTAAATCCATTGAAATCTTTTGGAAAAAAGTAGGTCAGATTTTAGTTTTGCCAGCTTTGATAGTGCCCATTTTAGAAACTCTTTCTAATGGAAGAGAACTCTCTTATATAAGCCAACATCAGGTAACAGACTGATGTGATGTAACTGCTAAGTGGGACGGAGCGAGGCTTTGTTGCTGATTAACTTCTTAAATCCCAGTCTCCCTCTTGCATATGGAGATGAAAAAAATCACTGAGTGGGAACATTTTTTATTTAAAATGCCTAGTCTTTTTTCTGTTCTTCCAGAGAGCCTTCAAGGCACTTCAGTTATAGATTTTTCTTTAGAGGTATCCAACAGACTTCTGATATAAGCAACATTTTAAAACTCTTTTGCTGTGTAACTTTACCAAAATAACTCTTTTTATTAGAAATTTGACATATTTTAGATCAAAGAAGAGAAAAAAATTATATTTCAGTTTGGCAAGAAATAAGCAAAGCTGTGAGGGGATATGCTAGAGAATATGATTTTAAATAAAGAGAAGTAATATTAAATTTCAGAAATGAATACCATATCCTTATATAGTATCTTTCTGGAATTCCTTTCTTTGAGTAATTAGTTTTATTTATATAGCTGTAAACATTTTAAATTGCTGATACATTTAAATTCCCACCCATTATTTATAATTCATAGAGATAAATCGATGATAGACTGAGCGTTTTTCTGTTTGCAGATGTTACTGCTTGAGGTTAGGAAATGACTGATATTGAATATACTGATTAAATGTTATATAGTAGAGGTTAGAAGAAAATGATTACATAAAATTAAACATGTGTGCCTTTTTATACACTAGAGAATGAATAATATACAATTGAGATTAATACTTGTTAAATTTAAATAAATATGCCCCTTTGTAGAAATAAAATTAATGCTCATTCCCATATAATTGTCTTGTTATTGGAAAGATGCATATTTAAGAAGCTTATATGATATACTATCTTATGTGCTATAAAGAAAATTGGATTCTTGCTCACTGATGAATAAATATTCAAAATGAGATAATAATCAGGCTTGCTAGTGTTTATAAAGTGAAATAAATATTGATACTTATTTCATTGACTTCAAGTGTAAATGGAAAGGATACCCAAATCCATGCGTGGACCTATTTGCATGTTAGTGATTCTAACTATGCTGCACTATTTTTATGTAATGGATGAAGAGGGAATTCATTGTTCTACTGCAAATGCTGAAAAAGAATTAGCAATAATTCTCTAATTTGTAATGTTAAATATGTATTAATATAATGCACACATGCTTTGAAATTGCTTAAGTAATAAAAGTACAGCAGTTATAGTCAACAGGGAACTATTTATTTCTGGCATTTAAAATAAATGTTTATTTCAGTGATATAAATTAGGTTAAGCATTTGATTAACTATATTTTTAAAAGGTTTGGCAGGTCTGTATATTTACTCTACCTTTTTTCAGTATACAGTTTTAGAATTATCAACCAATAAGTATAAAAATAAGATTCTTTAACTCTCATCAGTCAATCTGTTGTATTTTATGAATGGTTTATTATAAAAGTACATCATGTATATAAGAACAAGCTACATGAAACTGTTACTTTTAGAGACAGTAATTATGGTATTATCACATGAAAATAGTCAATTGTAAAGATGTTCTGCATACATTGTTGGAAGTAGATGTCATTTTGTAACGCTGTCATAAGCTCTAAAAAAAAGTTCATACCATTAACGAACTTTTAATATGGTGAAGAAAATAAAATGCATAAAAGAATACAACTTGTGGACAGTTACAGAGTATACACTAAATATGTGATTTTTGATCAGATTAAAAATACATGGATGATGGGAGTAGTAATGGGAGCCATCTTTTTAGAAATTAAGCAAATTGGTGCATTGCTTATTAAAGAAATATAGTTTGTTTTTAAATTAATATAGTGAAATTTTAATATGTCCTCTGGAAATATTACAGATTGATAGAATTTCCACTTGTACTATTTACTAAATTATCATTTAATCTTTCTGAATTTTAGTTTTCTTATTGGTAAAGTGAAATTGTAGTGTGGATTAAAATGGCTTATGATATAATTGTGTAATATAAATTATGAACTGCTATGCAAAGGGAAATATATAGCATTTGTATATGATCATTTGTCTTAGTTCAGACTGCTGTAACAAAATACAATAGATTAGGTAGTTCAAACCACCATTTATTTCTCACAGTTCTGAAGGCTGGGAAACCCAACCAAGATCAAGGCACCAGTAGATTACAGTGCTCCATGAGGGCACTCTTCCAAGTTGCCCATGGCCTTCTTTTCAGTGTATCCTCACAGGGCAGAGAGAGAAAAGAAAGAAGCAGCAAGCTTCTCTCCTGTCTCTTCTTATGGCTTATGATAAAGACACTAATCCC